CATAGGTCATATAGAGCTTTATTAAGAAGTTATAACAAAAATTCATAATAGGAATAATAATCAACTAAAAAAAAAAAAATAAAAAATAAAAAGAATCTTCGATCGATGTCAATCATGTATTGTCAACAACGGTAGACATTTTGAAATGTATTAATAAACACAGCTTACATAAACACACGGCATGTGCTGATCTATTCAGGCCAATGCTCGCAGTAACAGCAAGATGATTACTATTCCTATTCTGAATTTTTGTTATAACTTCTTAATAAAGCTCTATATGACCTATGTTTACATAACATTTTTTTCTTACTTTGTGCCATAGAATACACTAACAAAGTTTGAACATTAAAACCTGGGACACCCTGTATATATAAATAAATTTAAATAAATAAATTTAATAGAAAATTGAAATATTCAGCATTATGTATTTTAATTTTCTATTAAATTTACTTAAATATTAAACTTTCCTTTAGTTTTGACTGTGTTGAGGATTCTGATAAATACATAAACATAAAATACACTGCAAGTATGAAGTAATATATATTCTATTGTACGTTATGGTATAGAACGTAACAACCTAATCGACAACAATTTTCCTAGAAGTTTTCGTCTAGGTCTAGTTTTGGTAATTCAACGATCGAGTTTGGATTGCTCGTCTACTTAGAAGCAGCAATTGTTCCTGTGCATTCAGAAACTTAATGGCGGCGTTAATTTACTCCCAGAGACGACCGTATCTTCCAAGTTCTTTGTCGTTGGAACATAGGGAGCTGGAAAGTTTGGAGTTAACGAGTACCATGGGTTGGAGGAATGCTTCCTGAGATAGTTAGCTAGATTTATGCGCTCTTGATTGAACCATTTGCATTCAGAACCATTTGCACGCGCGTTCAACTGCTTAGTACGGATGAGTTGATAATTATACAGTCGTTGGTAGACTGCGGATCTACTTTTACGCATTCATAACCTGCAATCCCCCTTTCCCCCAATCCATTCAACAAATAAAACCAACTTCGGTTGAATTTCATACAATTTCATGTCAGTTTTATCTCACCGAAACCAGTGGCATCGAAATGAAATTTGATTACGTTGCAGTCTCGTGACAATTCACATTCGCATAATTACTATCGTCGGCACGTTCCCAAATGCAGAGTGCATCCGTCGAAAAAATACATTATTACTAATAATTACTATCTTATGGAATTTTATACGCTCATAGATGGCATAAACTTTCAAAGGAGATATATTTATCATTATAATGGACGTCTATTTAAGCTCTACGTTGTAAGACAATCAATGGCGAACTGTGTTCCTTTTTTCGAAAAATAAATGCACTAGAACGTAATTTCTGCTGAGAGTACTTTCAACCTAAGGAAACCTTTAATACAATAGATTTAATTTCATTCTACTAATGAATCGAGTGCTCCTGACACCAAATATTTTTTACAAAACCTCCTGCATCTTCGTGTCTTATCCCAGGAGAAGAAATCAATTATAAAAGAAGGAAAGACGAAGCAATCGCCTACGTTCTCTAAACTCCTCCACCTCATTAATTCTCTACACTTAGCATTAAGAATTAAAAGTCTATTTCTTTGAATCACAACAGTTCCTTAAATTTCAATCGCCACGGTTACCTTCTCGGTATCTCAACGAGTCCATTACACGATTGGACTCGACGCGATTCAATCGGGAGCCGGTAGAACGTTCCCGGTGTTCGAGCAGCGCTAATTAAATGAGGACCCCAGGACCGCCCCGGGCGACTCAGATTTAATCGCTCCCCCTGTTTCCGTCAATCGGATTCTTCGAGTTCCCACACGCGTCCAAAGTAAAAAAGAAGAAGAAGCAGAACGCGCGGAGCCGGCTCGCGTCGGACCGAGTCCGCGGTCCTCGTAATTCGTTTAACAGAGTTTCCGCTGGCGGCTCGCCCATCGGAGATACGCTTCAACCGGTGAGCTGTAGCAAGTTTCGCAGCCGTGAAACTGCCTGTCGTTGCCTCGTTAAATCGCGGCGACAAATGGTCCGGAAAAGTTTACCGTTCTACGGCGCTCTGCGATCGTTGCCCATTTTTGCGAAAAAGCAGCGGAACTTTTGATAGGATTAAGCCCGAATCCATCAAACACTTAACGTGAGTGACTACACGCAGCTTCATGAAAATGGGAAAACCGAGTTTATGCAGAATTTGTAATAATGAGTTCTTGAATAAGGAAATTGATTTAATCATTTCTATTTCTAGTGTTTGTACTATATTTGTAGTTTTAATTGTGAAACAAGAAATCGGTGATTCGACAGTGGTAGATCTAGTGTTGACACTAAA